AGACAAGGGGCTTTGGAAAGAAATTAGCTCTGCTTCTGCCACTAATGCCACTCTGGCTTTTTTCAGGGAATACTTGTAGTCTGTTAATCCTTTACTACCAGTCAGATGATAGCTGGGTTTTGTTAAGGCTGCTTTCTACTTTTTCATCCCAAAACTACTATCCTTCAAACTCTGCAAAAAACTCAAATGCTTTTTCTTTTAATGTAATAACACTGAACAGTCTAAAAAATAATAATTACAAAAAAACCAAAAAAACCTTTTAAGAAGTTTTGCTACAAGGAAAGGCCTCAAGCCTGACACATGTGTTGTTTGGAGGGAGAGACCCATCCAGAGTTCTTTCTGAAAGCTGGTACTTAGTCCTAATTCACAGCAAAGACCTTTTCTGCTGCCAGTTGCCAGGGAGACTAGAAATACTATTCAGGCTTGGAGGGATCTTTTGTCTCAAGCTCTGAAAAAGCTCTCACTGAGCATTTAAGGCCTTCTTCATTTTCTGTCATTTTATGGGGGAAAAAGAAGATGGAAATTTGTTATGGAAGGAAAAACAAGCATCCACAGAGCCCAGTCATTTGCACAACAACAATAACCTCAAAAGAACAGCTAAACAACACCTTACCTTCAAGAAAAGAAAACAACTCCAATATAAAAGAAAACCTCCCTTCAACAAGTATGATAGGCTAGTTAGTATACTCTTTCTTCTAACAAGAGGCTATAGAGGGCACACAGAGTAAGAAAACACTGCAAGGATTCAGGCTTGCTGCCACCAGCAGCAAAAAAAACCCCCAAAAAACCCCAAAACAGCCAAAAAAGAGGTGGACACACTCTGTCCTTTATTTTCTTCTGTAAAAAAGATTCAGGACAGAAACACAGGTCCTTTAAAAAACAAAACTATACAAAAAAACTCCAGTGTCCCAGATCTTTTGTAAAACTTAATAAGCATCTGGTGAAACAGTCAAAATGATTAAAAGGGTTTCAATAATCCTAGCCCTTCTGTATAATGGCAAAATTTATACGCTTATTTCTATTAAAGATCTGATCTTCCGTATCAGCTGCTCACAGAAAAAGAAAAAAACAGAGCCAAAACCCAAACTAAAGCCAATAAAAACCTTAAGAAAAAAAAAAAATAGCTTGCACTGTATAGAAAACTACAAAAGTTGTAGGATGTATGTTTGAACTGAGCTGCTTACGTTCCCAACAGCTACTTTTAAAGTCAGCATTGTGCCTACATAACCTTTACCAAAGTTTAGAGAACCATTAGCCTAAGTGCCTGGGTACTAAACACACTCTTTTTACATTTTAGATTTATAGAAAAAACAATTTTTAAATATTTCAGATTACTGTTGAATGTCCTTCAGTTGCATTCCCAGTACATGGAGTATAGGCACATCTAAAACATCACTTATGTAGCATAACGACCACAAATATTTGCTTATTCAACAAGCCATTTGTAGAAATTGCACTGTACAGTCATCCTGTGGTTTACAACCCAAGCAAACCACTTAGTCTGCTCTAGCACAGCTCTCCAAGACCAAAACAGTAACAAACAGCCGTATAAAGTATTTACAAAGTAGAGTTGCTTTCTTAGGCTGATAAACCTTTCTGTTGACACTAGTACCCACGAGAATCTTTACCAGAAAACTTTATCCTGTCACTTCACTGCCATTCTTAAATAAAGACAGGCAGCACAGAATATTTCCATTTTCTTAGTGAGAACAACTTCAAAGCTTACCCAGATTGCAAGCATCTGCAATATACCATTTAATTAACCTGAATGCGTTGCATTTCAGCTAATAATTAAAACTTACAAGTTGTCTGTTTTTACAAGCCTTTCTAAACAACCTTGTAAGGCAAATTATCATTAACCAATTGTATTTTATAAGCAGTATAACCAACAGCAACTCTGAGCTAGCTGCCATTACAACCATAAACTGATTAATTTATGATATTTTATTAACATTCAAAATGTAACAAGAGCATTCTACTTACCATTTTCACTATGTCAGCATAAGCTGATTCAACAATCACTCCACGATTTGTTGAAACATATTCAACCAGTTCATTCAGTGTTGCTCTCTTAATTTCTTTGCTTTTCAGGTCTGAAACAGAGTCCATGAAGTCAAAGAGTACACAACACTGTTGCAACTTCTGACAAAAAAGATCTTGCTGTTCATTGAAGGTGGCATCTAGAAAAGGAAAAAATACGAACAACCATCACTTAAGTCTGTAGAAGCAAACTCAGGATTTCTAAACCTATTTTGTTGGCTAAAATTTGCATAGCTCTCAGGTTTTTATTATGAAGAATAGTCAGCAAATTAATAAGCAATATTGTTAAAACTGAAAATATCTTTTTAAGTATGTGAGAATGAAAGACCTGCCATGCACAACGTGTGGTTCATACAAGAAATAATGGATAAACATGTGGCAGTAGATATATTGACAGAAAATGAGTTCCTGAATTAACTTTATTTGAAATACACAGACATTAATAAGTATCAACTCTCCCTCACCAAAAGTCACATACAAAGCAGTGCATCATACTAACCTTCCATTCATCCGATTTGTCTCATTCTGTTCCCTAATCCTTTATTACGTAACCTGCTTAAAAGCTGCAAAATCTGCTTTGAAGGAACCTTGTCTTTTTACCCCAATGCAAAATACTTCACATACTTTTGACATCATGTGATTAATATTTCTCTTAAGAATCACCTCCAATATTTCCAAAGGATTTATCCTCAATTTTCATGCTTTAGTCTAAAAAATTGATTACAGTCTTAGTCATGTAAGGTTTCCAGGTTTTTTGTTTGTTTTTTGTGTTAAGACATGTTTGGCTGACTTGGAATTTGCATTTTACAGTGCAGTTTCTCTATAAACTGATAACTAAAATTCCTCTATTAGTATTTCATATTAGCTCTAAAAAAATCTGGATTTTCAAACACTGTATAATTCAAAGATCTAATGCATCCTTAAAATATTCTAACTGTTCAAAAGTTGCCTGTTCACAACAAAAGCAGCTATGGTTTTAACTGAGAAATTGGTTTAGTGTGCCTTTTGTTCTTGTTTTTATTTGTTTGTTGGGGTTCTAGGCCACTCCAGCAACATAGCATCACCTCATCTATCAGTCAACTGGGATTTCACTTGTTCTGGTGAAAAACTTTTATTTCCCATTTTATTTGTGAATAAGGAATGTTCTCCCCCTGAAGAATTTTGAAGACCTACTAATTCATTAGCTTCATTCTTTCACTGCAGTATTGATATTAGCACTGCTGTTTCATCATAAGGAAATTATCGAGACAAGAAAAAGGCAACTGCCTTCTAATGACATGTATTGAAAATCTTAAGTCTCACTTTAAAATCTGAACAAATCACCAAAAGATCACATACTTCTCTTTATTGTTTTAGGATTATTTTAAATAAACAAACTTAATTTTAAATTCCCAAGTTTAACAACTCAAACGCTCTTTGATAATGCCAGTTCCTCAAGTTTCTTACCAAAACACCTTCCATTTAGTGGCTGGAACAACAACAGTCAACAGTGGTTTTAATATTCAGTAATTATCTGATAGAATTCTTTTATTTCCATAAGCCAAAAGTAATTGCTAAAATGGACTGAAACGCCTCCACTGTAATCCCAACTGCTCGCTCTGCCCTGAAAGTTCAAACGCCAGAATATCGCATTGTATTCCCTTTCCCCATCTGACAGTTATGATCCTATTAACTGAGCATAACAACTTCAGTGAGCTTTTGAAAAAGCCAGCAATTACTACTCCCTCACAGAGAACAATTCATACTTTTGAATGTTAATTCTGCAATTTTAACCATTTTTCTTTTGAATAAAAATCTTGCAAGATGCTTATTTCACTCAGATAACTACAAAGACATGAACAGTTACACCCTGCAAAATAATGAACATCAGCTGTAAAAACACTTGTAAGTTACATAACATTTCAGCTCAGACCTTCTAATATTCTACAGCGGATTGCATGAGTAAGTATTGTATCATAGCAACAAGGCAGTAACAGTGACAAGCTGAGGATAAAATCCAAAAAACCTAATTCAAGGAACTGACGCTGGGGGGGGGAGAGGGAGGGGGGACAACAGTTTTGGTTTTTTTTTTCCTTTTTTTTTTTTTTTTTCTTCTTGACACTGGCACCAAGCTCATACCCAAACTCAAACAGGAGTCAGACCTACTCTTACTCTTCCTCACCACAAACTTAACCATCCTTCAAGTTACAAAAGCCCAGCAGTGAGGCGCAGCTAATACAGTGTATTTATTTGATGTTCAATAAAAATCAAGTATTATTAACCAAAATTCACCTAGAAGTTTCAAAAACCAGCAGACAGCATCTGAATACTCCTAATAGTGGTTAAAACAGATTAAAGACTTAAGGTTAAAAAACAAGTAACAGGAATTTGGACAGAATAATCAATTCACTTATTACCTTCCCTACAATATCAAAGAAATCCCTGCATTAGCTCCTTTTAGTTAGACATGAAAGTAACAGAGGTAATATCTCTCCTGCCATTCATCTCCAGTCCATTTCATTAGCAATCTGATCTATCTCAACTAGACATGTTTTCTCAAATGAAAAATCTGGCCATTAATCTGTTTTGTTACTCTTATCATTTAAAGCAAAACCAAATGAAGTCTTTTCTTCTACGCATACAGTCACTTTCCATACTCATAAGGGGACTCATAAAATAAAGACATCTGCAAAAGATAAAAATCATGTGCAACCATGGTAATAAATAACAAGAAAGCCAGTTCTGTTGTATCAGCACTACCTGTCTACATGTGCTCATTCCCTGCTTGACATGTAGCACACCTATCCTGGGAATGTTATGAGAGGTACCACGGGAACCACCAAGAGATTTGGGAAAAATCTGTTTGTCAGATAGCGCTTTTAACTTTTTAAAGCCTTGTCTTGAACTACCTTTAACTATCCCAAGTACTGTGGAAGCCACACAACTCTACACCACAATAAAATCATATTGCAGAAGTTTATTCAAGTTCTATAAATAAAATAAACTGTGCCACCATAATTGCATCGACACCAGAGCTTTTAGCTTTAGTAGTTTAACAACCTGTGGCAAGATTTTTAAACCGGATTCAATTCAACATCTATCATGATTTACACCATACATCTGAGGTTCAAGATAATTGTTTTTCTTCAAATACACTAAATACCATAAGGAACACGATGTAGTTTCAAAGCAGACAGTGGATGCTTCAATAAAATAACCCTGCTGAGAGGCTGTATTTTGAAGGCACAGGGGGGTGAGGGTGAGCCTGAATTCTATTGCCAGCCTGTCCCTGAATTGCTGCATGTTGTTGGAAAAGACATTTTTAGAAAGAAAAAGGAGGGAAGGAAAGAAAACATGAGGGAGACTCAAGCAGGGAAAAAGGAGCAAAGGCTTTTAATCGTGTTTGGAAGAGCACCAAGACACACCCATTAAACCACACCCCAGAAAACAGTCTATACAGCATCTGATCGAGGTCATCAAAATGCAATTGCCTCAACTTTATTTTCTAGAGGCTGCTCAACAGAAGCATGATTTTGGAAATTCTTCAAATCCATTGTTACCATTCTTTGAAAGGCTGGTGGTCAGTTAATCCAAGATCCTTGGGAAGGTAGTAATGAGATTTTAAGCAGCCACAGAATAATAATATATTAATTCTATCATATTATTCCATCATCATTAATTCTATATGATGGTAGGAAATCCTAAACACAAAAATTTCCATCCAACACCATAAAAATTATTGTAAATTATGACCCACCATGACTCTTTCTAAGGATATTCACTCTCTCTGGTCATTTCCACGATAGACAGTAAAATGTTTGTAACTGATGGAGATAGTTCATTTGATCCCTGCACTTCATAATACTGAAATTCTCAACAGACTGTTTCTACTGTTTACAAAAATCTGATCATTACTGACAGTAGCCACAATATCAAAGGATAAAAAGTTACAAACAAGTTGACTTTGAAGTCCCCCCTGAACATAAGTTATTAAACATTAAAACTGCATGACTGTACAGATTTGTCTCTAAAGCGAGTGTTTTCAAATTTATAAGGTTATAAATCCAAGTCTAAGCATGGAATATTGAGTTAAAAGATTTTTTTATTCAGGGAGGTCCCAAACAAAATATA